AGGGAAAGAACTTTAGTAATGTTAGTTGGATTTCATAGTGCTTTGAAGAGCATTTGAAGGCACAAACATTTGATTAGAGAGGCACGAAAGAAAATTACCGAACCTCAATTTATTATGAACCTGAACAGGCATAATCTTCTCACCACCTAAAGTCATAAACTTTTTCTTATTTTCAAAGCTCTATACAGTTGGATATGATGCTTCACAGAGAACGAAGATGAGGGATCAGTCCAGTCAGTCCTTGCTCTTTGATATGAAAAATGAAATTGTAAGTAGAGAAGACAAAATATGGTAGATGGAGGGAAATAAAGACTAAAGTTATGAGATTACATATGGTAACTACTGTGTTAGCATTAAATAAAAGCAGAAGGCAAACATGGGAGAAAAAAAAATAGTTAGCTCACACAGAATTAAGTAGTTAGTTCCAACTGAGGGAAGGAGAAGATAAGTGAAATGGAAAAGGGTCTCCCAGTCTAGTGAGGGACCTGCGTTTAATATCAACCAAAGTAGTTTATATGTACCAAGCAAGCCTCCAGATGGAAGCTGTACTTTCTCTGCCAAGACAATTCTCTAGGGCAACATTGGATGAGGTCTTCTCAAATAAATAGATGTGAAATGCTACAAGGAAGAAAAAAAAAATTTAACTTCCCTAACATTCTCTTTGTAAATTAACTAGATGTCTTAAATCCCCTTCTCTTTTACTTTTTCTGGCACAAGAACCCCAAATACAACACAACACATCCATCCATCTCACGAAAGGAAAAAAAAAAAAAAAAAAAAAAAGGGCATTTCATATCAGATGCTTTGCGTCAAGCCTGCTAAGGCTCATAAATCAGCTGTCTTATTGCCCTGGTCATTTCAACCAACGTCTGACCCTTTTGGTAACTCATGATTTATAACTGGAAGTTACTTTTTTTTTTAATGCCAGATTTATAAACTTTACTGTGCTTGGTTTGGTATAATATCCATTTTGTACACCAAGCTGTAAGACAGTAAATTTATTGTCTATGAACTGTTACCTTGAAAAATTACATCAATGCAAAGTGGTTTCCATTTAGAATCAATGGGCAATAAATTCATTGGATTTTTTTTTTTTTTGAAGGGGGGAGAGAACATGATGATATTTATGAGGTCATGAGCGGCTATATAATGGGTGAAAATGGGAGCAGAGGCAACAGTCAGACAGGACTTCTGAGTTACAGGGGTAGACAAAGACGAAATATATTCAACTCAGCAACGATGCACAAGCTGATATTCTGCTGTCTCATTATTATCAGCTTCTCCTGTCCTCTCTCGTCTCTCCCTATCACCAACGCCAGTGAGATGTCTTATCAGCTCTCAGGTAAGAGTCTCTTGTTTTTACTGGTCATAAAGCAGAGGCTGAAGCAGTAAAACCAGAAGAGAAGCAGGTATGCTTTCTGAGGGGCCTTTATCTGTGCTGATTGGCTATAGAAAAAGCAGGAATAGTGGGTGCTAGTCTTGTAAAACAGGGAGGCTGGGTGCCCTAAATAGCTCTTCCTGCTGCTTTGAGGTCCAGGAGACAAAGGTATCTGAGCCTTCTAGCACCGAATGCAAGCTGGCATATATAGTGTCTGTATTTGAAGTAGCATTAGTAGGCATTGGGTAATTTAAAGTAACTTGGCTGTATGGTCTCTCCTCTTGCTGCACTTTAAAATGAGCTATGTTTATCCAAAGTTGTGTTTAAAAAGAGGGAAACCTACTGCAAAGGCTAATGCAGTCTTACTTCGATCAAGAACAGGCAAGTCTGTCTTACACTACAAAAATAGCGATGTATTGAGCATGCTATTTGTTTGCACTAATGCAGATTCCATTCAGTCCAGTGAAAGAATAAATCTTTGCTTGAAAAAGCTGTCCTCAAAGTTTGAAATTATACTATAAGTCAAGACTGAAATAGCTCAGTAAAAATGCACAACAGAGTCTGGAAAGGTTACTGTCATCAGACCTGACCTGTGCTGGAAAAGTTTCTGAAATGAGTTCTGAAAGAACAGGCAAATCAAACCCAAAGTTATTGCATAAAGCTGACTATTCAAATGTGGCTGTTCTTACCTGCTTTGCAGGTGCAACAGCTGTTGTGCTGGTTTATAGGTATCAGTAGTCCTTAGGTTTGCTTCGCAAGTCTTGGACTCACTAAGCCAGCATCTTCTCAAGTCTTCCACTATGTAAGTTGCATTTACAGGCAACCATGACTCAGTATGGATAACATCTATCACATCATAGGGTGAACATGCTGGCTCTAACAATTACTGCATTTGTTTGAAGACATCCATTAGGCTTATTAAATCTAATACAAAGAGTCTCTAGGCTGGGTAAGACAGAAGTAGAACTCTGTATTAAAGATGGTTGTTTTGGTTTTTTTTAAATCTCAAAGCAAGTTTACCTGCTAACGCTGCTCTGAATTAAAAAATAATACAAGCCTAGAGATATGAATTGTCTCCACATAGCACAGGGAGGTTACAGTATTCTTATTCAGAGTCTTACGCTGAAATCCCCACTGTCCTTTGCAATTGTCCTTTTGTACAGTGGACAAACTAACAACGTGGATGTCCAAGGTCTTCAAGTTCTTGATCTTGGTCCAGGTTTTTGAAGTGTTGGGGGATTATTTTCGGCAGTTTATTTTCTTATATATTCCCTATTGAGGAGCTATACAGGCTCACCCATCCCTGCAGGTGAGAGCAACTAAAATTCCATTGTATCATCTAAAAGTGCAACTACAAAACAATATCCATCTACACAACTAGAGTTTGATAACAGCACCCTCTCGTTGCCCATAATTTTGCATGTCTGCTATATATTAGCAAAGATGAAGTCTACTGCTCAGGTTACAAAAGCCTTATTTACCCCACGTATAACACCACCAAGGGCTCCTGTTGGCAACCTGCCTTGGAGCACAGGCTAGTTACAGAATTCTAAATTCTCTATGCACATACAAATTAATTCCACTAGGTATCACCAATCTGTTGTTTTAGAAAAAGTAATAATATCTGTACTGGTACATACATTAAATGAGAGAGATGATTGAAATGCACTGAGAAGCATAGCTGCCAAAATATGTTTTAAGATTTCCTACATTTATTCCTGCCTTCCCCCCCATTTTATTGCATTTAATAGCTGGGAAACTGAGCAGGTTAATAGGCCGTGAACAGGAAGTTTTGTCTTTATTCATAGAAAAGCACCAGCATAGGAACTAGTTGATAAAGAAATGGACTAAAATAAATAAATAAATAACATGCAAGTCTGGGTTGTCTACAGCTGGGTACCAGAAGGATTAGGTTGCGAGTTCCCCAAGCAATGGGAGGGGCTGCTGTTGGCCAAAAAACTTTCTTAAAGAAAGATCTGCCAGAGAAATGAGAATCTGAGATTAACACCAGGAAGGTATCTTTTCTCAAAGCTTTGGAAGGAAAAGAAATCTCCAACTATCCCCTATTACATTCATTAAATGAGGATGGATGATTGGCGATTTCATTATAATCTTCAACAGGTGGGGCCAACAAACCTGGTCAGAAATCATCCGAGACAGACTGAAACAGAGATTCAAAGCAAAAGGCTCTTACCATGTGCCTGTTTCTGTCATCTTTTGTTTGCAGCTGATGAAGATTCAAGATTAAACCTGGAGCGGTTGGGCAGCCTAGGAAGCACTTCCCTGCTTCAGTTTCTGCCAGAGCTCTTGGGCACACGGACTGAAGACAACAAAGCAGGTGAGGATTTACCACAGCAATTCATAGGAGAGTGCCCATGGTTTGCATGTCCAGCTTCCACAGATATTATGCCCCGACCCCTGGGTATTTACTGAAATATGACATAATGTGTAGGCAACAGACAGCTGTCATTTAGTTAACTGGGACCTTGGGGAAACCTGCTGAGCAGCCATGCTTGCAGCTCAATACTAGCTGGAAAAGTCTCCAAATAAGTTTAGCAAAACCTCTGTACAGCCAAACCAGGGCAAGGCAAAGATTGACCTAGAAGGAGCTAGCAGACAAAACAAGGTAGCACAGTCTCTTAAAAAGCATGAATACTTGCAGAAAGTGCAGAATCAATAGCAATAGATGGTTTGGGAGGCAACAGACATAATAGATGCCTGCTGCAGAGGACAGTACGGCTTGCATCTTCAGAGTCCCAGATTTTGCTGGAACTGTGTGCCACAAGAAGAACTGGCCACGCTGCAGCAAAAGGGTTTTCTGTCTGGTCCTCTGAACATTCCAGTTCAAGACTTCTGCTAGCTATAGCACTATGGCACACCAGAATGACTTGTGTAGGTTCATGATTTCTAAATGGTAAAACATTTAATTATGTCTCCCCTCTACCAGGTCTTAGCCCCAGCAGCTACAACCCAAGGGAAAACATCAAAGAGGTACGTAAATGTCCATCCATCACTGGAACAAGAAAAATAAGCCTCCACATTTTAAACTACACAGAATTGTTACCAAGACATCGTTTAAGATCCAGAGACCTCATAAACTGTATAGACTAAAGTATGCCACAGTGTTCTTGAAGCTGGAATCACCTAGCAGTTAGATAAGCAAGGGGGGGGGGAGAAAAAAAAGAAAAAAAGAACATGTAATCCAGAGCATTTCATTCTAACCCCCCCACTTTTTTCCCCAGAAAAAAAGCTTACTAAATAAAGGCCAATTTCCAGCTTCACCAGGCCAGGCTAGTGCATTAACCAGTATTAGCTGCATGTCATTTCCCCCCACCCCCCCACTACTACATAGGCTATACAGTATTATCAGATTTGTTATGAATCATTAGGTAAATAGAGAACATCATTCCTGTTCACTTGTCTGCTGAATTAAATACAAAGGCAGAAGACAGGGACTATTTTTAGTGCATCATCTAAATCTGAGGGCACTCTGGGCAGCTGCCTGTCCTTCCCCAGTCAGAACACCAGGCTGGGTGACCAGTTGGGGCAGTGAAGAGCATACTTTTCCACTGGGAACATTTACCATCCAACAGTAACCTCTCTAATGCTCTTTGACTCCAGACTTTCTATGGAAATCATCCTCGAATTGCTTTGCTGGGCCGCTTCTTGACCAAGGACAGGAAGCAGTACAAGAAACGTGGGAATCTTTCCGAATGTTTCTGGAAGTATTGTGTGTGAACAGGAGAAGAAACTCTCTCTGACTTGGTTGCATAATTTATACAAATGTCTGAAAACATGTATATAGATTTGCTTGATTTAAAATGAGAATGAAGAAACATGAAGACAGCTCCTAACTTTAGACTCTACGCTACTTGGAAATTAATAAATTCTTGATGTTTTGCAATTATGCTGTGAGCAGTGTTGTATTTTCTTAGAGTTCAGCACAACAGGAAGAAAGTAATGGGACAAAGAGATAAATATGCAACATGAAGAGAACTCAGGCAGGGGAAGCAAGATTCCCATGGGGTTCCGTGAAACCTCCCAGAAGAGTGATGCCTTAACTGCATTAAGTCCAGAGGCAAGAGGACTTTCTCCTTTGTCACTTGACATAGATTGGGGTGCCAGGAAGAAAGGGTCATTGCTGCATACCCTGATGGTGCTGAGCTGGTGAGGAATGGCAGCTTAACAATGCCCAGTCCCCTCCTACCATCCCGAAGGCACCACAAAAACAATAAGCATGTGTCAGGATCAAGTATCTGCTCCCACTACTGCTGGAGAGAGAGAACTGTTTCTCTTGGTCACTTGTAAAGAAAAACCCACAAATCTAATTCTTTGCAGAACCTTGCCTAGTCCCCAGCTGCCCATGACAACAAGGTTGCCTGTGCATAGCACAGGCTTTAAGAATTGTGTCTGATTATCAAGCACAGCATGGAAGGTAAACATTATGGTAGTCAATGTCAAAGTTTTACACCCAGATTGCAGACAGTCACTGGAGGCAGACAGGGATGACATCACTTAAAAGATTCTATGACCCTGACCTGTACTTATGTGGCTGCACACACAGATGCGGGAAGGCGATATATGGACATAGATCACAAGTGTTACTAGGGCAAGTCACCTCTTGCTTGGGCACTCAAGGGCAGTGAGGTTTGTTCCCCTGAGCCACCACACAGTTTTTATAATGTTGTTGTATCTTGGCATCTAAAGTAAATGAAGGAGAAGACAAAAGACCAGCTGCAGTCTGATTCCTTTGTACGTGGAGTACCAGCATACTTTCTCAATCCCAGGTGCTGCCTGATAGTATCTGCAATGAACAGAGCGAAAGAGTCAGGAATTTTCTCTGGGGGATGGCAGTCTTGATAACATGCACAAATAGTCTGAGGTGTGAAGCCCTACCTTGTTCAACACATACTGAGCATAAACCTCATGCTAATCAAGGCTCATGGAAAGCTTGAAGTAAACTTCACCTACCAGTGATACACATGCTACATTGATCTCAATAATATACATCATAAATCTCTGACTGTGCTGTTTAAACAAGGCCTACAGGCTTGATACAGCTTGTTCACTTCACATAAATTGTGAGACAGATGAAGCCAGCTATAACAAAGAAAAATGTGCTTATAAATGCAGAGCAGCTGGATGCACTGTGCAACTATTTGAAATCTTCTGAACATTCATCTTTCTCTTACACAACGGAGCAAGTCAGTGCCTGTCTGGAAATTACTCCTTTTCTGCCACCTCATCAGTCAATAAAAGCTTGTAAGAAAAGACTTCAAATTTATCTAAATGAATAACCATCTAAGATAGATTTATTTCATAGGCAGGGAAAGGTGTAGAGCCTACAAAGACTGGGGAAAACACAACTGTTCAATCCCACTTCAAAAATTGCAAACATAAAGCAAAATAAAGAAACCCACAATGAATAAAAACAAAAAAATATTACAAGTATTAAAAAGTTCACTAGCCATCTACCTAAGAGAATAAAGAATGAAGAGAGCTGTCAGATGGTGAGGATGAAGTCAAGACAAGGTAATTGAGCTATAAACCCTCAAACTGTTTCAGCTTTCGATAGTGCAAAAATACTTGCTAGCAGTTATAGCATCAAAAGAAGCAATACTCAAACAACTTACTGTGTTCAAGCTAGGCCAGAGCACAGCAGCAGGGTCTGGCAGGGTGGAATTCAGCTAATTCAAATATAGCAGAATTTCAGCAGAGCCTAAAAGTTCCAGTCATTCACAGTCCTTGCCTCTGGTAGAAAGGAGGTTCAGACCGCATCTTTGGACATGACTGGTAGTTCTCAAGACGACGACTGTTTGAAACCCTGTTGCACACCCAACTGTCTCCTTCCTGAAGGAAACGTTCATGGCAGATGCCAGATAAACTCACTTCCAGGGCCCAAGAGCAAAGAGCCTGGCGAGTCCGCAACAGAGAAGGGCAAACTCTGGTTCTCCTCCATTCTGCTATAACCTATAGCTCCTGCCAGCTTTCAGGTCTGAGCTTTTCCTCTCTTCTGCAGGCCAGAGACAAGAAGGATGGAACTGTCAGAAAACTAAAGAGATTGTAGGAAGAGCTCTGGAGGCCAGGCTGATTGTCTTTGCACCGGACAGGGCAGAGCTCTCAGAGCAGACAGAAAGGTGCAACTGCAGCTGGGGCAGTGAGCCACAAGAGTCCTGCCTGTGCCAGCCTGAGCCTGCCTGTAACGGTTTCAGGCAGCAAACTGGAGCATCAAACGGAAGCCAAGCAGGCAGACACCTGTTCGAGCTGCCCAGGAGCAGTATGTAATATATATCCTGAAAGTTAATACAACTGTAGAGCAAACTTAATACAGAAAAGCTACGGTCCCATTACTTTTGCAATTGGGGCGAGTAAGAATCACAGGCCAATACTTGTCTTTCACCATCTGCCAAAAATACAGAAGGACCTCATTCAGCTCACCTTTGACATCCACGCAGAAGTAAAAGCTACAGGTTTTTAACTGTGAGCAAGAACTTCAGCTGACAGGAGGATGACTGCTATTAACAAACCAGTAATGTAGCTGGACTGACATTGCCTAAATCTCTGAATAAAAACATAGTACCACCTTGAACTTTTTCATTTCACAAATCTATTCACTTCTCCTCATATTTTTTGACCAAAAATAACTAGATAATTTGGCTCATGTTTGTATGTTTAGAATGACCAAACCACCCTCTTAAAAATTAATAAACTATCAGCAAAAATATATCCAATGTTACATTCGAGATGCCTGTATTTCAAGGAACCGCATCACCTTGCCAGAAGCACCTTCAGTTACATACTTATGTACGATTGCTTCTTTCTTTACCAATTTTAATAAGATGCTACATGTTTTGTTCTGTACCTTGTACTCCCTGCAGTGACTTTGCCTTTCTCCTGCAGGCTTCTTTAAGCACTGTGGACCACACTTCTCTCTAAAGTCCCTTAAAGCAGAAAAAGATGAACAAATTGTTTCTCTGCAATTAGTGAAGAACTTCATTACTTTATAAGACATGCCTGTGAATTAAACCTATGAATTGTTTCTTTGTACCTCCCCTAGAACACAAATTTTAGAACAGTGGGGCCAAAGGGCTCCCAGGGTGTTTATTATTTACCTTTTCTAACAAAATCAGCACAGACAGAAGCTTTAAATCCTGCATGCCAAACCCCAACAGCTTACACATCCAAATATAATCCTTTAAATTCAAAAGGTACTTGCCCTTCTTTGTGGGATGCAATCAGAAAGGAAATAACATGTCCTGAAGTGGGCAAGGTAGAGTGAGATTAAAAAAAACTCCACAAAACCCCACACGAAACAGGATGAATGGCCACCACATCACCATTTTCACTGTACTCACAACCTCAACACCTATGTACAATCAGAAAAATGTAATGAATATTTTCTTAGAAGTCTATTTTCTAGAAATTACCAAACAACAAAAGTAAACACACACTTGAAACATTCTTTGCAGTATATTTTTCAGTTTTATTTATAAAAACAGAAGCTCCCTTAAAGTGTACAGTTAAAATCACAACTGTAAATTCAACCACAGCTGAATATTATTTCAATAAAATATTCCTATCAACTGATGTAAAAATTCATTCAATTGTGATTGAAACTCGATTCAGCTGGAAGATAAGCTTACCAATACATTACTCATTCAGCGAATATTTATCGCACTGTAAAAATACACTGGGGTCCCTCCTGTTCATAGCAATGCCATGAAAATATTCGCACATCAACTCATCTTTTAAAAACATCACTCCATATTTATGAATACAACAAAAAAAAATTGCCAGTGAAATCCACCAAGGGTTTCCAAACTGCTGACGCCCCCACAGGGGGTAGTAACTGCATCATTACTGCACTTGCGTGTTTTCCCTTTGATCACCAAAAAAGGTGACCTTCCAAGCAGCTTTAAACTATCTGCAACATTTTAATTATGCCAGGCAAAACAAAGTCACATAAACAAAATAGCATGTGCAAATCTGGCCGCAATATTTACTCCATTGGTCTTTCAGATCAGAACTGGATCTCACGTCAACTACTCCAGCAAACTACAAAGACTGAAAGATTAATATAAGCTGAAGTAAAAACTACCAGTTCCTGAAACCTTATGGAAACAAGGTCCTTCCCAAAAGGCTTGATAAGGCATTTGATTGCAAGATGTGGTTCTAGTGGGGTAAAGAGTAGCTTGGGAAACTGTTTTTTGTCCTAAACCTGCAGCCAAGACCGGTTGCGTTTTTGGGCAAATGATTTAGTTTCATTGTCATACATGGCACTGATTCACCTCTTCATTCCTCTTATATTCTTCTCCCACACCATATTTTTTTGTGTAACCCAGGACAAGTGTAGCCCCAGACAAGGAATCTTGCACCTAAGATTTAGCCAGGATTACAAACTTTGAATTCAAACGCCTAGGCACATGCACCTTCATTATATATGGTCACAGGGTATGGTGCTCATGGCACTACAAGAACTGTCTAGGATTTCTGTTGCTATATGATCCTACTGGGCACAAATTCACAGTAGTAGGTGGTACAAGAAGGGTTAACATCTCCAAACAAGAAACACATTTAATATGATCAGGTTTCTACACATGGGTCAGAATCTTGACCACATGTAGCAAAGACAGCACAGGATACAGTAAGTGAAGATCCCCAAATTATACTCCTGGATTTGGTATGAACTGGGGGTATGCAACTGTGCAAGTCCTTTGTGTCTCTGCCCCTTTTTATGCAATTGGGGTAACGATAGTCATATTTTTTACATGTTCCCAGACCTATGGATGAAAAGCATTATTCAAGTGTTAGGTACATATTACATTTCTCCTAAACGAAGTCCCACTGTTTTATAAAATGGATGACATATGCCTGGTAAGACATCGCAAACCATCTCATTTTCAT